TCAGACTACGCCCGGTACTTCGGGGGTTCATGGACCTCGAGGCTTTCGATGTGGAAACCTTCTCAGGAACAGCACGGCGCTCAAGCCTGATATTACTCGCAAGCACGGCAGCGCGCGAGAAGCAAGCAAATCATCCTTTTCTCCCCTTGCCATCAACATGGCTTCCCTGCGCGGGTGAACCTACCGGGAACTTGCTGAGGCAACTGGTGAGAAGGAACGTGTGGCGTGAGTTGCCTTGCCGCCTGGATAGGCAACGGTGCTTCGACCCCTTCCAGGATGCCAGCACTACGACGAGTCGAAGCGCTGCCTGCAGTGCCTCAAGCCAGGCACCGGCACCAAGGATGCACCCAGAGCTTTCTCATTGAAGCTCAGAAGGACCACGAGAGGCTTCGGTTTCAGACCCACGTCCTACGACGAAGAGTTCGAGGCGAGCAGTAACCTGCTCACAGCCAAACGTGTTAATGATATCAATATGGCCGGTTCTGAGGGCACCATTGACAAGTGCGTCGAGTGCGTCGTGGACGCTTTCGGCAAGTGCAAACTCAACAAACATACATATACCTGTTGTGCTGCGAGGTACACAAAGGATGCGGACGGCAATCTTACATTGGACAAAGATGAATACATTAAACAGCTCCGTCCTATACAACATCCTGATCTCACAGGCGCAGACGCTAGCGCCAAAGCGTCCAAGATGGTCGCTGACATGTTCGTCAGCCTCAGAGGCGCGTTGTCTTACGCCTAAATTTCACAAGTGTGGTTGATGGTATATGTGGTCTCTCTACAACGTGTCCAAGAACCGACCGATCTACACGTGCGACGACTGAATTTGATTACCAGAAAGCTGCAGGCCTGCCCTAAGAAGATCATCTATCAATCGAGGACTCCAACGGACGAAGTTGACTTGCACAGCGACTCCGGCTATCGACGCCTGAGTGGAGATGCCGATGACGAGGTCCAAGGCTACGGCATTCGCGGGGCAAACCTGCTACGGCGCGGAAACACGCCATCCGGTAAGCCCGTCGGCCTTGTGATCGATGCGCACTGCAAGTCTCGCCGCTTGCAGGTCCGCTCAAGTTATTCAGCGGAATCACTCGCAGCAGCCCGCAGCTTGGAGGACTGCTATCCCACGATCGTGACTCTGCACGAGCTCCATGCAGGTCCACTGACACCCACGCAGTTGGGTGGCATGAGCATCAAGGTCATTCTGGCCATAGATGCCGAATCTGCATTCAAGTCCACGACCAGCGAAGACCAGAAACACCGACTGAGTGTACTCTTTTGGGACACGTCAGTAGGATACGACAGATGATGGAGCGAGGAATCGCGCATAGCATTCAGTGGTGCGACACTCGCGACACGACCGCGGACGGCCACACAAAGGGGAACATTGACAGAGATATGATCTTACAGGTCATGGGAGGCACGCGATCCTTCAAGCATGATTTACAACGTCATGCTCCTTGGCCGCCTGAGGAGTAATCGCATGCACGGCAATGTGCTCGCGAGGCAACTTGCTTGCGGGCCCACCTTCCTTGCGGGCCCGCCTTTTGCTGCCTTCATGTGCATGGCGTTTGCTGCGCGGGGGCGGCGGACTCACGCTTCGCCCCCCTTCCCCCCCGACTCTAACGTGAGCTGGGGCCAGGGCGAGAGATGGCGAGCGTTTGTCCGCCGCCGTGTGTGTTCAAGTGGCCGGCCGCCAACATGCGATTGCGCCTCGTTGCGAGGCTCGCTACTTGCCATCGAGACCGAAAACATCTTTCGCTCGAGATGGCCCGTCGCTCCCGTGACGATCTCCTCCGACTGGGACTATTGTTACTACGATGCAACAGAGCTGGAGTTGCGCTTCGCCCATGGCGAAGTTTCTGGACCGGCCCGCCGGCCCCCTTCAAAAACTCCATGGGCGGGTGTCGGGCGCATCTGCTGTTGAGTGTCAAGCGCGCTCTGTTCATGATCGCTGCGAGGGCGAAGATGGGGGGCAGTCGCACGGGAAAAGAGGGGGCGGCGTGAGTTTGATATCAAGTTACGTTACCATCGCGCGTGCGCGATAGCGGGGGACCTTTTGACGTTCGGTTTCGCGTTAGGAAGCCGCGCAACGAAGGCGAGGTGGCCGGCGCGAAGATGCTGTTGCAGGCGCGTTGGGGAGACGACGTATATTCGGAAGGGTGGGAGGCGGGTGCGACGCCGCGAGACCATTGCGGGCGGCGCGTGCGGAGGCTTCTTGCAGGGCTTTTCTTACAAAAAAGTACGAGTTCCACAGGAAGGAGAGGCCAGCTCGTTGTAAGGAGTGCGCGGCGGACGTGGAAAGCGCGACCAACAAATGGTGCAAGAGGTGGAAGACATGTGGAATTACATCTGGAGGGGGATGGGCCGACGCATCATGGAGGCGACCAGGGCGTCGCAGAAGCTGGCGACGCGGAGAACTCGAAAATTAGTCGGACATTGTATGCTGTATTATGCAGAAGCTACCTTGTCAAAGCACAACGGAAGCCGCGCCGTGGCAACGCGAAGTAGAACGAGAGCGCCAGCACAGCGCAGCGTTCGAGCGACATGTGCCTGTCGCTTCTCGAAGAGACGGCAGATATTCTGGAAACGCCGCAGAAACACAATGCAGCCAGGGCTGCATTGCGTCGGAGATGCGCACGGGCACGCGACAAATTGACACGCGCGCGGCGTGCGGGGGAGTTTTTCGGGCACGAAGCGTGCGAAGAAGGGGGCAAGTGGAACGTCACCGGAAGACGAAACAGGAACGCGTGGCGCGCGCAGATTGCACTGACCTCGGGATCGCGGCGCGCAGTTGGCAGGCGTGACAACGCAGCGGCACGCGCCGACAGAAAGCTGCCGAAATCGGCGTTCCCCGTCGCGGGTGGCCATGTCGCGCGCGCCAACAGGAGGGGCACCTCGAAGTAAAATTCTTCACGCTTCGCGTATCCCCACCAGCCCATCTCACAGCAGCAACTCTTGCGAAGCATGCCGACAGTCGTGTTTTTCAGGCGTGTGTCCGCTTGGCCCCGCATATCTCCCCTGTTCCTCCTTCCTCCCGCCTCCTTGTACATCCTCCTTGTGGGGGGAGCGGGAGAAGGACGAGGCGGAGGAGGAGGGAGAGAAAGCGCTCCTCGTGATTTGACTCGTTTGGGGTTTCTCGTTCTGGTGTGAGTCGTTCGGGCCCTTCTTCCTGGTGTGAGTCGTTCGGGCTCTTCGTGGTGTGAGTCGTTCGGGCTCTTCGTCCTGGTGTGAGTCGTTCGGGCTTCTCGTGGTGTGAGTTGTTCGGGCCCCTCATCCTGGTGTGAGTCGTTCGGGCCCCTCCTCCTGGTGTGACTCGTTCGGGCTCCTCGTGGTGTGAGTCGTTCGGGGCCCGCGTCGTGGTGTGAGTCGTTCGGGCTCCTCGTGGTGTGAGTCGTTCGGGCGCCTCGTCCTGGTGTGAGTCGTTCGGGCCCCTCGTTTGGTGTGAGTCGTTCGGGCTCTTCGTGGGTGCCTCTTGGGGGTCTTGGGCCTCTTGGGGCCTCTTGGGGGCCTCTTGGGGGCCTCTTGGGGGCCTCTTGGGGCCTCTGGGGGCCTCTTGGGGGCCTCTTGGGGGCCTCTTGGGGGCCTCTTGGGGCCTCTTTGGGGCCTCTTGGGGGCCTCTTGGAGGCCTCTTGGGAGGCTCCTGGGGGCCTCTTGGGGCCATCTTGGGGCCTCTTGCGACCTCCTCAGAATCGCCAAGGAGCGCTGCCCCCTGAGAAGGAGAAAATGAGGCCAATACTTTCGTACAATCAAGGATTTTGCTATGAAGGAAGGTGAGCGCGGCCCCCTCAGGAGGCCAAAATGGGGCCAAAACCATAGTAAAATCAATGATTTTGGCTTCAAAGAAGAGGAGAGGGACCTATCTGCGCCCCTTGTCGGGGCCAGAATCCTAGTGAGGGTCGTCGTTTTTAAGCCCTCCCAGGAGTCGGAAAAGACCCCTCCAACGACCCGCGGAACCCCCTCTCCAGGTCCAGGGGGAGGGGGTAGGGGGAGGGGTAAACCCTTCCCCGAAGGGGAAGAAGAGGGGTTGAGAACAGAGAGAGCTCCCTAAACCACTCACGCCCAAAGGGCTGGTGGGATTCGACCAGATGATGCCCGATGCCCGCTCGGGTGGCCACTTGGGACATCGAGACAGCAATGGCGCCATGCGCACCGAGTTCCGAGGAAGCAGGATCAGGAGGGGGAAGAGAGAGCGAGATGGAAGACAATGCGCACGAGAACAACAGCGCTAAGAAAACGGAGGGGGGGATGGGGAGGGGAAAAGGGAGGGGGAAAAGGAGGAGTGGCAGGAGGAGGAGGAGGAGGAGGAGGAGGAAAAGGAGGAGGAAAGGGAAGGAAACGAGGAAAAGTCTGGATCTGGTTTTCGGGCCATGATTGGGGCTTCCGGCGTCCATGCAGACGTGTTGCGCCATCCCCTCTGGACGTATCATGTCATCCATGACGTATTATGTCATCATTGGATGTGTTATTCAGATGTGAGCACCCCCAGACGTATCATGTCATCCCGGATCCGTTTTCACTGGTCCCGGGGGCCGACAACGGCCCGAAATGGAGGACACAGTTCGGGGGGGGAGGAGGGGGGAGAGGGGGGGCAGGAGGACCAATAATATTAATCGTAATATTTATATGAATAAGAAGAATACGGATAAGAGTAATAACAGAAATACTGATAATCAAATAATAAGAATGAAAAGACGAAAACTTATAATACTAACACCAATAATAACAATAATATCAATACTAACAATAATATCAATAATAACAATAATAATACTAATACTAATAATAATAAGAAGAAGAATAACGAAATAATCACACTAATCATTTTACTAGTAATAAGAATAATACGAATGGTCCTTTTAACAAGTGCATGCTGCGACCCACGGCGAAGTTGCCGCACTTGATGGGCATCTGTGGCCATCTCGCTCAAGCCTCGAGCGAACTCCGCCCGCATGCTCTCCGCGGTGCCCGCGGCGGCTGGCGCGCTGGCCCCGGAGGTGGGCCGTGGGCTGAGCACTGGTCTGGCGCTCTACGCGGCCAGCCAGGGGGCGGCGCGGTGCCCCGAGTGCACCTGCGCGCCGCAGCTGCACTGCCCGGAGCTGCGCTGCGACTGCTCCGGCCTGCAGGGCTCGAGCAGCCAGGGGCCAGGCCCCTGGTCGGCGGCGCTGGTCTGCGCCGCCAGCGGGCTCGTGGGGGCCTGCAGCGCGGTGCTGGCCTTCTGGCGCCTGAGCGGCCGCTCCCTCGGGCCGCGCGACGCGGCGCCGGCCACGGGCGGGGAGGCCGACTTCGAGGAGCAGGCGTGGGCCCAGGCGCGTGTTGCTCGCGCCGAGGCCCTGCAGTGCTGATGGCGGCGCCGGCGCCGCCGGCGCGCGCGTCGGTCGCTGGCTCTGGCGCCCAGCCCGGGGACTTCATCGGCGTGCAGTGCAACATCGGCGGCGTGGCGCTCATGCATGAGCGGCTCGTGGTGCTGGCGCCGCCTGGGCGGCCTGACAACGCGAGCATCGTCACGCCGGACGATGACGATTACGAGGAGAAGTACGTGGGCTCGGCGGACGCGTTGAGGTGGGACGTCTTCCCTGGGGGCGCTGCTGGCGGCGTGATGCCGTGGGCCCCGGGGGCCCGCTACTACAGGCTCCGCAGCCTGCCGACGCCGGCGACCATCCTGGCGGCCGCGGCCGCCGCGGCGGGTCGGCTCGGGCCCCCCGCTCCTCCAGGGCCCATCGTGGGCAACGCGGGTCGGCGGCCGATCGGAGCGCCGGCCGCCGCGCCGCTGGGCGGGCTTGCGCCGCCGGGCGTGGGCCCCGCTGCCGCCCCAATTGCCTGCGTGGCCGGGCTGGTGGCCGCCCTCGGCGGACCTGCGGCGGCGCCTGGGGCGCCCCTACCGCTCCTGCCTGCCGCCGCGGCGCCGCCGGGCGGCGTGCCTCCGCCGGCCCCCGCGCCCGCGCCCCTGCTGGCGCTCGCGGCTCCGCGGCCGCCGCGGCCCCCGCGGCCTCCGCCGACGTCCGCGCGCGGCCCGTGGTGCGCAACGCCCCCGGCTCCAGGCGGATCGGCTTCGGCGACGCGGTGGAGCGCATGGTTGAGCACCAGTGGCCGGACTGGCCGATCACCGGCCCACGCACGACGCTGTGGGTCTGCCAGTTCATGAAGGACAATGGGCTGTCGCCCCTCGGGCGCCACAGCAAGTGGAGGTCAGAGGGCCGCCTCGCGCTTACGGACGGCGGCGTGGCCGAGCACGAGCGCTGCTGCTCGCTCCTCGAGCAGATGGTGTGCTTCGATCAGTTGAACGTCCCGGACGTTGCGGCAGCGGAGATGATCTGCCAGAGCATCCAGGTGCAGGAGGAGGTGGCGCGAGCGGTTCGTCTCGAGTGCCGACGAGTCGCTGGACTCCCATTTGTTCTACGGCACCTCGTCCAACCGTGGCAACGCGTGCGTGCACCCCCAGCTGCTGGCCCACGTCGGCGCCGAGCTGTCGAAGGAGTACGCCGTGGCAAAGGAGAGGCGCAAGGCGAGGGGGGAGCGACAGTCCGCTCGCACGCCGGGCAACGAGGACAAGAAGGGCAACAAGGACAAGGACAAGGATGAGCCAAAGGGGTGAAGGAGAGCGCGCAGCGGGACTTTGGGCCACCTGCTGCGCCGATGCTCGAGCACCAGGCCCATTTTCGCGGCGACCTCGCCGCCACTGGTGACCACCGTCATCGGGATCTTTTTTCCGCTACCTCATGTGGCTCGACGGACCGTGTGTGCTGCCGACCGCCGCCCCTGTCGCGCAGTCCGTCAGCGGTCCCGCCGCTCCGATGTGCTGCTGCAGTGGGCTGACCATGGCGTGGATGCTCTCAACCGTCTGTATGGCCACGCTGGCGTACCTCCGTCGGCGCCTGTTAACCTTGGCCAGCAGACCTGCCTGAAGTTTTTGGAGGACTGCTACCTGGGCATGGGTGCGATGCCGAGCGAGCCAGGTTTTTGTGAAGAAGCCCTCCGCGAGCTTCTCAGCGGCTCCGCCGTCTACTCCGACGACGGCGGCGCCCGGGTCCCGTACTCCAAGGAGCTGGTCTCCTGGCCTGAGGTGGGTTCCAGCCCTGCTGACCTTCTGGGCTGCCTGACTCAGGATGATGCTGACTGGGCACGGGATTGGCGACATAATCTGCTCAAGACGCCTGGCGAGGCGCTGGAGGGAGCCCGACAAGCTTGCGCGCGTGGACCCTTTGTTGACCATCGGTTGGCACGGGACCCAGTTCTGCATGGCGAATTTGTTCGGCGTCTTCATCAACGTGGCATGTTGTGCTTAAAGGTGGCCCCCACTGACAAGCGCATGATAGGTGTATTCTTTTGCGAGGAAGAAGTCCGGGAGACTTCGCATCGTGTTCGACACGAGGTACGCCGGCGCCTTCTTCCACCCGGCACCCCCGACGCGTCTTCCTACGGCGGCTGCGGTGTCTTCGGTGGAGTCGGGCTCCTCGCCGCTGTGCGTGACGAGCGGCGACCTTGACAATGCCTTCTACCGCCTCCTGCCCATGTCGGGCCTCGAGGACTATTTCACTTGGCCGAGGCTGTCCTCTACCCCGGCCGGCATCACCGAGCTCGACGGCGCCATCTTGCCGGCGGGTGCCAGCCTAGTACCGTGCCTCACCATGCTGCCCATGGGGTGGTCGTGGGCGATGCACTTCTGCCAAGCCGTGACCATGCGGGCGATCTCGGTGGCGGGCTTCTCGGACTCGCAGATCGTGGAGGACGGCCGGACGAGCGTGCCCCTGCTCACCCCCACCGCCACCGCCGCCGCCTGCTACGTGGACAACTTCTACGTCTTCGGCCACGACCCGCCGCTGGTCACGCGCCGCCGCGACGACGTGTCCGCCGTCCTGCGGAGCTGGGGCCTCGCCGTCCACGAGGAGACGGACGCCGCCACGGACGCCGTGTTGGTGGGGCTGGAGCTCCGGCAGGGCCGCTGGCTTTCGGTCAAACGGCGCAACCTGTGGCGGCTTCGGGCGGCGCTCGACACCGTGCTGCGTCGGGGCTGCTGCTCGAGCAAGATGCTGGAGGTGCTGGTCGGCCATGTCACCTGGGCCTGTCTCATACGCCGGGGGTTGTTATGTGTGCTGAGCGCCGTGTACCCGCACAGGGCGGCCGGCCTTCCCACGACTTCTCGGATGCGAGGCTCTGTTCGTGAAGAGCTCTGGTCGGTGCGGTCGCTGCTGCCCCTCCCCCAGAAGGACCTGAGCAGCCCGTGGCACGACATCGTCGGAGTGAGCGGCGCCTCCGATCTCGGAGTCGGCGTGGCCGCGCGGTCTGCGCAGCCGAGCGTTGCGGCGCAGCATGGCCGCCAGTGCGAGCGTCGGCGCTGCCGTGTGCACGGGGCCGAGAGGGCGCGTGAAAGAGTCCTCCAGCCTCAGCCTCTGCCTTCCTCCACATCAGGTACAGCTCCGCTGCCTACGGGACTGCGCGGCCTGGACTTCGCGGGGCTCGAGTCCTTCATCAGGGTGCACCCTCGGGAGTTCATGGAGGCCCCTCGGGAGTTCTTCGACGGGGCTCGCTGGGCCCCGGTTATCGCCACGAGGGTCACCGTGCCCGACAACATCTTAGGCTCGGAAGGGGACGCTTGCATCTTGGGTATCAAGCACATCTTGAGGTCCAGGGCCGCCTTTGGGAAGCACATCTTATTGTTCGTCGACAACGTGCCTTTGGCCCTGGGGTGCTGTAAAGGAAGGGCCGCATCTATTCATCTGCGTCGTGCGCTTCGTAGACTGTGTTGCATGGCCTTTTGTTCAAACTGTGCGATTCACATTCGCTGGACCTGCAGCGAGTTCAACCCTGCCGACCCCCTGTCTCGGGGCCGTCTTGGCTGGTTCACAGGACCCTCTACCGTCGCTGCGCGACCGCCGGGGCCGCCAGCGTCGGGCCGCCGCTGCCCGCCAGGTGGCGGCGACGCGGCGGCCCTCCGGCGGCCTGTCGGTGCTGGAGCGGACGGCGGTGAGGCCGGGCACGGAGCGCCTCTACCAGGTGCACCTCCGGGCCTTCCTCCAGCTCTGCCTCGTGATGGCGATCGACTGGGCGAGCGAGGCCGCGATGGACCTGGCGCTGGTCACGTACCTGAACTCGATGCACTTCGAGGGCCGCGCCCCGAACGAGGGCTCGGTGCTCCTGGCCGCGCTGGCGCACCTACGCGCCGGCGCTGTACAAGAGGACCGCGCAGGCTCTGCCGCGGGCGACCCGCTGCCTGGCGGGCTGGCGCCGCCGGGTGCCGACCAAGATGCGCCTGCCGCTGCCTCGCCGGGCTGCCTTCGCCATCGCAGGGGCGCTGGCGGCGTGGGGCCAGCCGCGCATGGGCCTGTTCATCATGGTCTCGTTCGCGGCCTACCTCCGCCCGCAGGAAGCGTTCCGGCTGGCGGGGCGGCACCTCGCGCCGCCGGTGGCCCACCTGGGCCAAGCCCCGACCCCGCGGGCCCTGCTGCTGCACGACTCGGACCTCCAGTTGCCAGGGAAGACAAACCTGTGGGACGAGAGCGTGCTCCTGGACCAGGCGCCCTGGCTCGAGCCCGCTCTGGAGGCGCTGAGGACTGCGGCGGGGGAAGGCCCCGCGTGGGACGTCCAGCCTACGTCGATTGCTCGGCTCTTCGTGGATGCGTGCCACGCCCTGGGTCTGATGCACTTGCAGCCCCATCTTTATTCCCTCCGCCACGGGGGGGCCAGCGAGGACCTGCTGTCGGGCGCGAGGACGGCGGGGCAGGTCATGCGCCGCGGCCGCTGGACCACCCTGGCCTCTCTTCGCCGGTGCGGCAAGGAGACCCGCCTCCTCTGGGGGGCTGCCAAGGTGGACCCCGACGTGCTGCTGTTCGGGGAGGTCGCGGAGCAGAACTTCCTGGATGCGCTGCGGGGCGGGCCGGCGCTGCCGCTGGTGATGCGCGCGGTGCCAGAGGCGCTCCGCCAGCGCCTGCTGGCAGGCCCCGGGGCCCCCGCCGCCAAGCGCGCCCGTCGGCGCTGACTGCTTCGCCGGCGGCCGCGAGGCGGCATCTGCAGCGGCGATGCCGTCGCGCCCGCGCGGCCGCCGACAAGTGGAGGTGCTGCCTGTTTCTGGAGCTCTTCGCCGGCTGCGGCCGGATCTCCCAGCGCGTTCGCGACATGGGCCACGGCCGCCTGGACATGGACATCGCCCAGGGAGCCGTCGAGGACCACCTCAGCTCCACCTTCGAGTCGGTTGTGCGCGGCTGGCTGCTCAGCAAGGCCATCGTGGGCTTGTGGCTGGGCACGCCGTGTACGTCGTGGTCGCAGGCGCTGAGGGATCCGCTGCGTTCGACGCAGCATCCGATGGGCACGCCAGGCTTAGAAGGCGCACGTTTGCACCGGCTCCGCCCAGGTAACCGCTCATTCCACTTTCCATGCTGGCCCATCCGGCTTTGTATCCAGATCGGTTGCCTTGTCTTTTTGGAAAACCCTCGCGGGTCGCTTCTCTGGCATGTTCCTGAGATGGTCAAGTTGCTCTCTCACCCATCCTGCACTGTCCTCAAGATGGACATGCGTCAGTTCGGCACGCCTTTTAAGAAGCCAACCGCTGTCGCCTGCTGGAACGCAGGCGTTTTCCCCAGTTTGCGTAAGTCTTGTACCAGCAAAGGCGGCCTTTGCTCCTCAACCGGCCTGCCCCACCTCATCCTCCAAGGTCGGGATAAAGGAGCGCCGGCCCGCCGCGCCGAGCTGGCCGCGGCGTACTCGCCTCAGTTCGCCCGCGCCGCTGCTCGTGCTCTCGTTCACTCGGCCAATGCACTTAAAGAAAAAATGGATGATGAATGCTGCCCTCCAAGTAAGTTAGTGTCTCTCACGCTCTGATGTTGTCAAGGCAAAGGCTTCGGTTAGCAAGGCTTGTGTCAGCTCTGTATACGTGCGTAGTTCGTTTTCGGCCACGCTTCGTGGCCAGGACTGATCTGCGGGGTTCAGGTGGCTCCTTCTCAGGATCTTTGAAAGCGCGCGGCTCTCGCCGGGGATCAGCTCACGTTGTATAGCCTCTGGTTGCCGTGGCCTCGCCGTCCCGCGCTCGTCCCCATATGAAAAACATCGTCCTGGCAGCTGGGGAGTGGAAGTAGCTGCTCCTTTTGACAAGTGTATGCTGCGACCCACGGCGAAGATGCCGCACTTGAGGGACATCTGTGGCCATTTCGCTCAAGCCTCCCCTCCCTCTCCCCTCTTGCTCTCTCTCTCTCTCGTTCACACAATGTCTCTCGTGGCTCCTTTCAGGATCTTTGAGAGCGTGCGGCTTTCGCCGGGGATCAGCTCACGTTGTATAGCCTCCGGTTGCCGTGGCCTCGCCGTCCCGCGCTCGTCCCCATCTGAAACACATCGCTTTGGCAGGTGGGGAGTGGAAGTAGCTAGTAGTAATCATCATCATCACCATCATCATCACCATCATCATCATCATACGATTAATAATCATATCCAGATGAAGAAAGCTTCGACGAATAATAATACAATGACTAAGAATACACATACGAAGAAGAGGGGGAGGAGGAGGAGGAGGAAGAGGAGGAGAAGGAGGAGGAGGAAAAGGAGGAGGAGGAGGAGGAGGAAGAGAAGGAGGACGAGGACGAGGACGAAGACGAGGACGAGGACGAGAGGAGGAGGAGGAGGAGGAGGAGGAGAAGGAGGAGGAGGAGGAGGAGGACGACGAGGAGGAGGCGAAGGAGGAGGGGGAGGAGGAGGAGGAGGAGGAGGAAGAGGAGGAGGAGGAAGGAAGGAAGGAAGGAAGGAAGGAAGGGAGGAGGAGGAGGAAGACGAGGAGGATGAGGAAGACATGGAGAAGGAGGAGAAGGACGACGACGACGAAGGAGGAGGAAGACGAGGAGGAAGAGGAAGAGGAGGAGGACAAGGAAGAGGAATAGGAGGAGGACCACGAGGAGGAGGAGGAGGAGGAGGAGGAGGAGGAGGAGGATGCGAGGATGCAAGGATGCGAGGATGCGAGGATGCGAGGATGCAAGGATGCAAGGATGTGAGGATGCGGATGAGGAGGAATCGGAGGAGGAAGAACGGGGCGCTCCCCCGCTACGCTCGAGGAGGACGAAGGGGCGCGCCAGCTGTCTCATCGACTGTATAGGTTCTCGATGGTAGGTTTTTTGTTCGGCCTCTGGAGGCGTTGTTCGGGCTCCCGGGCTGTAATGTCCGTCGGCCCGTCTGGCCACCGTGTCTGGATGTTGGTCGGACTCCTCAAGGATGTTTCTGGTTTCGGGTTTATGGGGGGCCAGGGTGGGGGCCTCTTGGGAGCCATTTGGGAGCTTCCTGAAAGCCTCTTGGGGGCCTCTTGGGGCTTCCTGGGGGCCCTTGGGGGCCTCTTGGGACCTTTTTGGAGCCTCATGGTGGCTTCTTGGGGCCTCCTGGAGCCCTTTCGAAGCCGAGGGCTCGAAATGTCTGTTCGGGCCCCCCTGTCTGGGCGGGCTCTCTCTTGAAGCCGTTTTGCGGGCCTCTTGGGCCGTCGTGGAGGCCTCTCAGGCCATCTTGGGGCCATGTTGATCCGTTTCGGGGATCTCTCGATTACCATTCAGGCCGCTGTGGGGCCATCTCCGAGGCCTCTTAGGCCGTGTTGGGGCGTCGGCAATCCGAAATGACAAGAACGCCAGAATCCTGGAAACAGACAGAAGCAAAATCACTGGATTTCGCCTCGCGGGGCCCTCTTTGGAGGCCTCTTGGAGGCCTCTTGGGGCGTTTTGGAGGCATCGTGGGCCGTCTGGATGCTTTTTAGGCGTCTTGGGAAGATCCGTCGGCGACTCGGAGCCTTTTTGGCCCATCCTGGGGGTTCCTTGCCCTCTTGGTCCGTTTTAAGGTTCTCTATCCCCACATGGCGCGTTTGCGCCGGGCCCAGGGGGGTCAAATTCCTTTTAGGGGGCCCTAGGGGGGCATCATGGGGGGAGGAATCTCACATGCCTAGAGCCCCACAACGGGTCGGCTGACTTTATGTTCTATGGCATTGATCACGCATTCGTCACTAACTATTGCGCACTTCCGTTGCCTTCGATGCGTCCTATAGTTTGAGCCCATGCGATCTTTCACCGTTCACGTGTTCGTCAAACCTTCGCGTGGTGTCTTACCATACCCTCGCTAAAACTCTCTTGGTCCCTACTCATGTCTTTAGGCCTGAATATTTTGAGTTCCGTAATCAGCGCCGTGGGTACGCCGCCCCTGCCGACAATCCCGCATCAACCACCGTCGCGGGCAGCCACTGCGCACGAGCTCAAACGCTCCCTTCGGTGCGCCGACTTGGCGAGGTTGACCGCCGTCGGGGTGGTCATCCCCACGCTGATTACGAAACGAAGGGCGCGCTCTTCAGACGTTGCGATGCTTCGAGTCGAGCACAGTTCCGTTTGCTGCGCCTCCCTTCAGACCATGGCTGGTGCGTGCATTCTGTAGGCGCGTCGCGACCTCCCATGGAGGGCCAGCGTTACACGGGCGTCGTCAAGGCCTTCCGTGGCAGTTTTGGCTGGCTGAAGTGCCCGGACGTGTCAGACAAGTACTCTGGAAGGTCAGGGTGTTCATTTGCAAGTATTTGTAGCGTGAACAGATAGCATGGTGAGCTGGTGAGCTATCGGGGACAGGAATTCACAGGGCCAGGCCTGCTCTGGGATGGGGCCCGCTGAATCGAAGACAGGGTTTGGTGTTGCGTGTCAGGGGGGATTTCTGTTACGACCAGCGTGGGGTCGTGCTGCACTTGCGGGGCGCGCAAAACGCTAAAGTTGGGCAGCAGTCGGGCGCGCTGCTTCCGCAGGCACAGCGAGCAAGCAGCTCTCTGGCCTGCCGTGCGCGGGCACACGCCGACGCCAGGTACAGCTTAAGCAATTCCGTCGTTTCCTTTGTTGTCGAGTTTTGTTCGCGCTGTTTGCCAACGATGTTGCTGACCGCTTCCGCGCCCCAGAAGCACGGACGGCGTTTCCCCCTGGGTTCCCCCGTGGACGTTCCTCGGTCCGCCCTGTGGCTCACGCTGCTGCCAGCGCTACAGTGGTTGACGTGGCGCCCCGTGCCCTGCGCGCGCCAGGGTCGCACCCGCCGCGGCGCCACGCCGCGGCGCGGCGGGCGCCTGCTGGACAGCTGAAGTGGAACCGCCCTCGGGCCCCTGTTTTTCGACGTGTGGCGCACGTATCCTGCGCGCCGCCGGGTTCGCACGGTAAGTAACCTGTCCGTTTTCACCTTTGCTTGTTGTAATGGTCTCCCCCTTCCGCTGCTGTTTTTGCTCGGGGGCATGGAAGCTGGCCAAGTTTCCGTGCCCGCCCGCTTCAAAAGCGCCTTCATGTATCTCTCACATACGACACTCCGCCTTCAGAAAAACCGGATTTTTCACATCTTCCCATCTACATCTTCATTTATAGCTGGTAGCGGAGCAATTTCGACTGGAATGGCTCCCATCCTCCGCCGCCTTCGACTTCGGTCAACCGCTTTCAACATCATCGCCTTCGTGCATTTCCCCCCGTTGCTTTGGCAGGACCATTGACCGAGAATGTGCACAACCAGTACTTCATCAAATACAACATGACCAACATCTACCAGGACCGCTTTGCGACTCATCCCGGGCATGCTCGGAGTGAGTCCAGGCAGCTCGCGGACCCCAAATAGTCGGTGCCCCCGCCCGCGGGGGTAGCCGCAGGTGTTAGACGATTGCTCTACACAACGTGCACATTTGCAGTGTCAGAACAAGGCCCCGAGTTTCTTGGGACTGTGTCTCGAGAGCCTTGGGAAAGTCATGCAGAGAAGAGGCATCCGGCGAGTGCGTCGCCGGCGCCGAGCGGGGAAGCGGCAAAGGGCATGACGATTGGGGCGCCATCGTCCGTAGGCACCGCACTTCGGGATTCGACCTTTCGCCTTGCTACTCAGACCCGCCAGCCAGGCAGTGCGGAATCCCGGTGCGCATTCCTCTAGACGATGGTGTAACTGGCGGCGCTCAGCAAAGTGACCGCCCGACGTACGAAGAGCATTCCCGCGATCGCGTCGCGGGATGCTCCGAGCACCGCGAGCATTGCATTGGCGCGACAAAAAATCACGCGCCTAATGCGCTGACGGGGAGGAACGCATCAGGGGCAAGAATCGTCGGCGACTCATGCAATGCCGCTGGTGGACACCCAGCCCCCATCACCCCTTGCGACCAGCGGGGGGGGTTGCACTCCGGATGAACTGCCATCGGAGTCGGCACGCGCGCCATCGCGAGCTGCATCGCGTGAATGGACGCAGACGGCGGCAGCGACAACATGCGTCACTTCCGCGACTGGGGGCCCGAGGACCAGGCTCGCGCGCCTGTCCGCACGTGGGCGCGCGGGGCGATGATCCCGTCAGCGGCAAACTCCGACCTCGAAGAGTTTCGCTGGGCAGCCTGCGCATCGTCGCGCCTTGCCGCCATGGCGCGCGAGCGCGTGGGCGAATGGCCGCTGGCTGTCCTGGCCCAGGGAGGTTTCATCAACTGCAACCCAGCGCCACCGATGACCTCCCTCATGCACAGCAGGGCCGAACGATGGGGCTTGCTGGGCGAGGAGGAGCGCGCGCCCGCAGCATCGTCTGCGATGATCTACGACCGGCTTCCTTCCACAGGGGCGCATTGACAACCTCCTGGCGAGGTTCGACATGGCCCGCTACCGGACGCAGCAGTCTGGGCAGTTCATGATCGGCTACGAGGGGCTCAGCCCCCCCCCTGCTGCGCGCCGTCGGCGCGTCGAACATTCAACTTGCCATGGCCCCATAGCGCCGCGACTCGGCAAACCCCGCGAACGCTCGGCAGCTCGCCCGCGCGGCGGGCCAGCTTAGACGCTTTGGATGCATGACGGAGGGGTCGCCGGGCAACCCAGCCTCGGCGTTCCACACTGCCCAACGGCGTGCGTTCCTTACGGGCGCGCCCGCGTAGGGGCAGAGCTGGGGCGACCTGCTGCACTGGGGTCGGCGCCGTGCCCCCTGCGCCAGCCGGGGGCGCGTCTGGAGGCTGCCGGCGCGGCGCCGCCGGCGCGGGGGCCGCGCCCGGCAGCGGTCGTCGACCCGGGCACCGAAGCCGACGCCGCCCGCTCATTCGGCGAGGAAATAGCGGCCGACGACCCCGAGCTACGCGACATTCCCGTGGAACAACGCGGCGCGCATCTCTCCTGGGCTTGCGGGCGCGCCAAAGCACGCCGGCGCAGCTTCGGCAGCCGCGGGCCCGCGCGCCACCTTCGGGGGGTCACCGAACGGAAGGGCAAGGGCAAGCGCGAAAGCTACCGCGCATTCATCGCCACCCTGTCCGAGAACGACCTCCGGGAGACCATCGTGGGCTTCGGGAAGGGGGGGGGTCAGGACCGCGGGCGCGCGTGCCGGCCGCCGAGGCAATCCCGTGACCCCTGGCGGGGTGCGCCTCAAATGCAGCGAGTGCGACTCCGAGGAGCACCTCGCGCGCGACCGCCCTGAGCACCGCCGGCAAGGGCGCGCTCTCTTCCTCGACGCCTACGCCCCAGCGCCACCATCAGCATCGCCACCCTCGCCGCTAGCTCTGCCAGGACAGCAAGGGACGCTGAGCCTTCCGAGCGGCCGCCCACGTCGGAACCTCATGCAGTCTGGATGACCAGGGACGCCTCCGGAACTCCTCGGCCCGCGGCCGGGGCCGCCGGGGCGGCAACCCCCGGCGGAGCGCCCGCCCTTGGAAAGACGGACAGACAATTCCAGCGGCGCCCTTGCCACGACCACCAGCACCACTGGATGCTCGAGGTTCTTCGCACGGCGGCTCGCGGCAACCTGCCGGCCGCCGGCGCTGGCAAGGACATCGCCCTCGCCCTCGCCCTCGCCACGCGAGGCCGAACTGCGGCGACTGCGACAGGAGATGGCCGACCTCCTAGGCCGCGCGCAAGCCTCTGCAGCACCGGTGGCCCCGGTGATTGCGTCGCTGGGCCGCCGGGCAGCAGACGGGGGAGCGCCGCCGCCCGCGCCTGCTTCAGGGGCGCCGACAGCGCCGGGAGCTCCAGCAGCCTCGGCGGCACAAAGGCCACCAACAAAGCCGCAGCGGTGGACGTCAGCGAGCGGTGCATTTGCGCTGGGACACGCCTGGGAGCGCGATTGGATAGGCGACCTCAACGCTCGCGCCGCCACGCCTCCAAGCCAGTCTGCCGACACGCAGTTGCCAAGTTGGGCCTGCGCGCCTTCGGCCTCCGCTCTCGGCGTCGGCGCGCCGCGTGGATCGAGTTCTATGTGGCCGCCGCAGTCCGCGCGGGCAGCTGCGTCGCCGCCAGAGGGGGGACTTGGCTTTGTTCGACATGAGAAGCCCCGCCAACGTGAGCCAACCGCCCAGGAACGTCGCCGCGCGGCTCGCCGGCCGCGACGCCTGGATCTCCGGCGGCGGCCGACCCGAGCACGACGCGCGCGCCGCCCCTCGACCGCGCGCGACGACTGCACCTCGACGGGCTCCACAGCGCGCAGCTGGCGCTTGAGCTCGCGCGACAGCAAGATGAGCAACCACGTCAGGCCGCGCAGAGTTGGACGGCGACATTTCTTTTTCCTCTTCCGTCGCCAGCTGGCGTCAAGCATCAAGCATCAAGCATTTCACCGCTTGCTCTACTCACCCTTCTCTTCCTCACCCCAGTGGCGGTTCACGTTTTCCGCGCGTTGCCAAGCGCGCCGGACAAACGCGATTTCCACCCAAGTATCAGCCCCAGGACGCCGGCAGGAAGCGCGCACGAAATATCCCCAGGAAATGGGTGGAGTTCAACGTGAAGGGCTTGTCCAACCACGCGCTATTAATATTGATCCCATAGACGACGATATTATTCTGGGAGTTCGATTTCCGCTTGCGCGCATACCACATCCAGAAACACCAATCACAATGGGGGCCATGAGTACAATGATCCAGGATTACCTTGCCCCCATCATGAAAGCCCCCCTGGCCTTGGGACACGATTTCCAAGAACTCGAACGCACAGTGGGGGCCAATATGGAAGAACACAGCATCCGCATCAGGAACGTCGAAGACGACGTCGAAATCTCACAGGGAGAGGTTCGCGCATTCTGCGCGCCATAGTGCGTCGAGAAGCGCCTCGGAGAGTCAAGAGAGATATAGAAATCTGAATAACAGCACCAAGGTCTACAGCGACATCTTCCGTCAATGGGCGATCTGCTAGGTCGGCGCACAAGCGGGCAGCAAAAGAAGAATCCAAAGGCCTGCTCTTTTCAGAATTTGCCAACCAACACGCCGTAGAACTAGCGCCACCCGTTTTGCAGACCGCGCGTGGTCAACAATTACTCACTGCGTGGAGCCCCCCATATGTGCATCCATTCGCATGGACCTGTCCGCCGTGAATGTCTAGGCGCAAGAGTTTTCGATTATAAACGGGCTTCAGTTGTGGCGGTCTGGTTATGAGTCTAACTGAGAATGAATTGGAGTGCGAACGGGGCCCCCTGGGACATCCTAGGGAGGATTCGCGCCCCAGGAGATGCCCAATCTATAGCAACAGACGCACGTGAAGCATTGCGGATTGGAGCCACAGGAGAAGGAGGCAATCTATAGGAACACACGTAAAACGCCGCGGACTCGTGCCCCAGGAGAGGCCTTATAGGAACATAAGTACGCAGGAGAAGGACAATGTATAGAAACATACGTATAACATTAAGGATTCGCGCTCCAGGTGAGGCCCAATCTATAGGGGCACACGTAAAACACATGGGATTGGAGCCACTCCTGTTGCCTTCTGAGGCCTCCTGCTCCTGGGGCCTCTCGGAGCTTCCTGTTGCCTCTCGAGGCCCCCTGGCGCTTCCTCTGGCCTCCTGGGGCCCCCCGTGGCTTCCTGAGGCCTCCCGGGGCTTCCTGGGGCCTTCTAGAGCTTCTTGGGGCATCCTGTGGCCTCTTGAGTTTTTCTGTGGCCTCCTGATGCCTCCTGGGACCTCACGTGGTCTCCTGGGGCCTCCTGGAGCCTGCTGGGGCCTCCTGCGGCATCCTGAGGAGAACCTGCGCCCGCGAGTCTGGCCACCGATCGAGACGTCATCAACATCTGACCCACCTGGCGGGCGAAAATGAGCGCCCCGCTCGAGGCACCCTCCAAATCTGCTCCGAAAGCAAAGGATGTTGGGACAGAACTCAGGCAGACCGCTTGAGACATCCCCGCAGAGCGGCCGCGAACGGGACCGCGAAAACACCCTTGGCGGCCCCCTCAGGGGGAGCTGAAACCAGCGCCCCGCCTGAAACATCCTCACAATCTGCTCTCGTCGCCAAGGATGCTGGGACAGAAAACAGGCAAACCGCTTGGGACATCCCCACAACATTGCCGCGAACGGGACCGTGAAAACACCCTTGACGGCCCCCCTTAGGGATGCTAAAATCAGCGCCCCGCCTGAGACACCCTCGCAATCTGCTCGGATAGCCATGGATGTTAGGACAGAAACAAGCAAACCGCGGGAGGGGCATGATACCTAGACAACCGATTCGACGGAACGAGGATACCGATTCGACGGCACGAGGGGCTTGGGCCTGCAGGAGATGGCCAATGAGGATGACGTGAAGCAGGTGAGGACGTACCCCGAGGCGCTCGGCGAGGCCGCAAATCTGCTGGCGCTGCGCGACGAGCTAAACGTATGAGAACGGGAGCTCCTCTACTACCCTGGTCACTCCTCCCTCTCATCACTCCCATTCTCCCCTTGGCTCCCTGACTCTCGCCCCTGCCTCCCTCCCTGACCCAATGATTCCCTCTCTGCCTCGCCCTTTCCCTCCACCCACTCCTTCCTTATTGTTTGCAAGTCGATGCCGAGTCGATACGCGGTGGGCATGGAGGCGGCGTCGTGGACGGACGATGGGCGATGCGAGACCCAGCGCTGCAATGTTGGCCGCGATGCGCTAGGTACGAGGGGAAGAAGAAGATGGGCATCTGCGAGATCAACGCAGCGCTGGTTGAGGCGATCGCTGCCCCGCGGGGGCGAGGGTGGAGTATTGCGGCGGGGGAAGGGCGGGGGTTTTCAGGTTTCGAGACGGCCGCGCAGGCCGTCAAGAAAGACCTCGACGTGTTTCTGCGTCTTACCTAGGGAGAAGGAGGACGAGGAGGAGGTTCGGGCGAGGAGGAGGAGGAGGAGGGAGGGGGGAGAAGGAAGGGCGAGGGGGGGGGGGGGAATAATGAGGGGGAGAGAGAGGGAGACTGAGGAGGACCAGAGGATGAGGAGGAGGATGCCTAGGATAATGATGAGGGGTACAAGGCTGGAGACTGGAACAGCATCATATTGACATCTAGTCGAAGGTTCAATCGATCGCAATACAATTGATGCTGCAACCTCGTCCTACTCCCCCTCCGCCGCCTCGAGCCTGCTCTTCCCCCGATCCTGCTGCTGTTGCTTCTCCTCCTCCTCCTCCTCCCCTTCCCCTTCTCCCCCCTCTTCCTGCCCCCTCCTCCCCCGCCCCCTTTCCTCCTCCTCGCCATCCCCCCCCCCTCGAGGCGCGCGCGTCCTGCGACAACATCGCGAAGGTCCGCAAGAGCGCGGGCGTGGCGCTTGCGCTCTCGGGCTGATCTTCCCATTAATTGGGAGGGCGGGCTGCCTGCTGCGACTGCAGAGGGGGCGGGCGGGGCAGAAGGAGGAGCAAGCTAGGGCGGGGGAGTCCCAGAGGGGAGGGGCACAGAAAGCAAGGGGTCGATGGGGGCTTGGACATGATGACCGCGACGGCGCATCCTTGCACATTTCAAGTGCTGTCGCGCGCAACTGGTGAATACTCACGCCCCATGTGACGCCGCGACCTTCGCAAGGTTCCCTTGGGGCACTCGCGCACGCGCATGCGCATTATGTTCGGGATATTTAGCGCGCGCACAAACATGCAAATGAATAGGTCGCGGATCCGTGCTCGAGCGTTAGCGTAGACGCAAGCGGCCAGCGAGACTCGGGGGCGCCGGCCAACGGCGCCGAGTGCGCGCGCTCGCGCGCGAGAAAGTCGGCCGCGCCACGTCACTACTCCATGTCTCGAGGCACGCGCGCAGAAGACCCCAAAGAGGAGGGGGGGCTCAGGAGGGGGAGGGCGAGTGCGATGTGAGAGGGGCGAGAGGGTGCCTTTCAGTCGAACTCGCATCGACTACTTGAGAACCGCATGGAGCACGGTGCTGACGAGACTGGCGTTCGAACAGAAGTTGTTGAAAGTTGGCCGCGCCATAATGTCTCGAAGTACGCGTGGAGAGATTCACGAAAGGAGAGGAGCTCAGGAGGCACAGGGCGATTAGGAATGAGAGGTGAGAGGAGAAGAAGCTTTTCAGTCGAAGTCGCATCAACTTATTGAGAGCCTTATGGGCCAACGTGCAGATGGGAACTCTATCCAAAAGGCAAGTGTCTTGAGTTGAAGACCTGCGGGCGCCCGCGTCTCCCTTTTTGAATCAGCATAGCGGTTGTTCAGAACGCGACGGTTCAGACATTCAAGTTCGGAGTAGCCCCCAAAACGCAATTAATGTAGCTTGGTCCAGATCCATCGTCTGCGGCGCGATAGCCGCTTTTGTTCGACAGCAGCTTTGCAAACATCTATACTGGGTTCTCTGGTATCGCCTGTGCGATGGCGGCGCGCACGGCGGCCATGAACGTCTTGGCGGAGGACCGCCCTTCGTCGTCAGCGGCTGGAGTGCCGCAGCCGATGGATCTGGAGGTCGGTTTGGGAAACCCTGCTCCCGCGATGCGCCCGCGATCGATTGGGGGGGGGGGGGGGGCCCCCGCGATGGTGGATGCGATGCTACTTGCATCCGCCAGCAACCCCGCCCCCTCGATCAAGTCGGGGCGCATGCGCGAGATCAGAGGTTTCCCAAACCAGTTGATATACCAGGAGACCCCGCCACAGCGCGACGGCGGAGTTGGTTTGAGGAAGTGCTTGATTAGCAGATGGAAGGGGTGGAAGATGACCTCCAAGGATCGATGGTTGAACTCCCCCCCCCCCCTTCCCCCCCCCCCCCCCTTCCCCTCCCCCCCCCCCCCCCTCCCCACCGAATTCAGAGCCATTCGAATGGGGGAGGGCCGCGGGGTTCCGAAGCGTAGGGGGGGGGGGGGGGGGGGAGGAATGAGGAGAGGTGAAAGGTGGACAAGAACATGCTGAATGGAAACCGCGGCCTCCCGAGGCCGCCGTTCCACCGCGGGGGGGGGGGGAGGGGGCGTGGGTGGGTGGGGGGTGGAGGGGGGGGGGGGGGGGGGGGAGGGGGGGGGGTCGTTCGACCATCTAGGACGTCTGCGCGGCGGCGTTTCACGCGATGGGGTCTGGCGGCACAGGCGCCGCGGATTTGGCCCTGGGCCCCGACTCGGGCCACCGCACTGCTCACGTCAGAAAGGCATTGATCCTGTCGGCCCGCGAGAAGATTTACAGCGCGCCCATTCGAATTTGGGACAAAGAGACGGACTCGCGAAAGGAAATTGATCTGCCGTTTTTGCTGCCCCACGAGACCTTTGCAGAGAGTTGCGCGGCAAATCCAGAATATCTCAACTTGCAAAGCCTGAGCCCTGATGAAATGCCCCAGCAATTCTACGACCACCCCATCGCGGTTGAACACGGAGGCCTTTCTTGCCCGATTGGTTTCTACAGCGACGGGGTGCCGATCTCGAAAAAGGATACGTTCCTACTGTTCTACTGGAGCAACATCAAGACACAGCTTCGGCACAAAATCGCAGCAATCAGAAAAAAGTGACTGCTGCATCTGCGGATGCACGGGCGCTTGCACTCTGGGGTCCATAATGCGATGCATTGTATGGTCCCTCAATATCCTCGCCTCTGGTGTCTATCCTTCGTGCGACCAGAGCAATCAGCCGTTTGTCAACGAGGGTCGTGAATTGAGGCGGGGAATGGAATTGGCAAACGGTCTTCGTGGGGCGCCGTGCGAAAACATGGCAGATCTGTTAGAATTCCAGCAAGCCTTAGGGCTGAAACGCTGAGACAACGCGGAGGTACCATGTTTTTTTGCAATGTCAAGAAGGCGGATTTACATAACTACCCTCGTCCACGTGGCGATTGCGCATGGACGGAGAAAGATGCCGCGATGCATAATGAAATGGTGTCGGCTTGAAGTAAGACAGTGACCATCACAAGCAAGAACCAGCTGGGCAAACTTTTAGAATGTATGAGACGCGATCCCGACATCGGAGGGTTTGGGCTTTGGAAAGCATGCCCTGAACTGCACTTAACCGCGGGTTGGCGATTGGTGCAGACGGGTCCTGTGGCGGACACGCACAAAGTTGCTGACGTTCAATGCTCTGCGGCGGAGCCGGCTACACTGACATCGTTTGATTCGTCTAACCAGATCGGCTTCAATTTCATCGCCCCGATTTTCGGGGTGGTGGGGTTTGCCATAGCAATGATCGCCCTGGACATAATGTATGTTGTCGACTTGGACATAATGCACATTGGTCAATGCCTCTGCGGAGCCGTTCTGAGTATTCTCATAGAGAACAGTTTTGCAGGCAGCAGGGCCAGAACACTTTTCATCCGACGTAAAGATAACCTTGTGGAGCTGAGGAGGCGCATTCGTGCGTATTATATCGCCAACCAAGTGATGCTCAGGCGGGGCCAGATGAGCCAGATCTTCAGGCTATCTTTACAGATGATCGGTCCTCCCCAAGATCCCCGTCTGCACGCAAAGGCGGCGGAAACACGACAGCTTGTAGGCCTTTTGCCCCAGCTGTGTCACGAGAACAGGCATCTGTTTACAGGGCTCGCTGTGTATTTGCCCCACTGCTGTGTGCAGCTGAAGCGCTTCCAAGACAAAGTTTCTGTGCACCCTCGGCGAATGACGCCTGCTGCCCAACAGGATTTAGAGAATTGTGTCTTTGCTTTTGTTAACTTTTGGAAGCGTTCTGGTGGGCACACGGCGTTTAAACATCATGTGTTCGTCCACCTCGCCCTCCGGGCGAGGGCGATGGGCAACCCTCGGAGGTGCTGGACTTACTTGGACAAATCCGAGAATAGGGCGATGGCAGCCATCGCGAAGTCGTTGCACCACGGCTCCAAACTTTATTTCAGTTTCCTAGAGAAGGTCGCGTGAGCTGCGCCAAAGGGGCACCCGATAAACGCCTGCCAGACCTCATCGATCGCCGGGGGCGGGGCGAGGGGGCGGAAGAAGCGAGCAGCAGGGAGCGCGCCTCCTCACTTGGCTTTTCCTTGCCCTCCTCTTCCCTTGTCCCACTCCCTCCCCCTGCCCGCCCCCCCGCCCTCCCCCCTTTCATCCTGACTATCCGCTCCGCAGGGAGGGCCGTTGAGCAGGGAGGTCGGTCGGCCCTGCGCCTTCGCGCAGGAAGAGGCAGGAAGAGCCTGCTCAGACATGCGCTTTGCCCCCTCAGCGTCCCTCGTCGTCGTCCTCCTCCTCCTCCTCCTCCTCCTCCTCCTCTTCCTCCTCCTGTTTCTCCTCCTCCTCCTCCTCCTCCTCCTCCTCCTCCTCCTCTTGCCACAGGAGGGGGCAATCGCAGCGCAGAGGGGTGCCAGCTCCTGCGCCGCGCGCGCGTGCTCAGGCATGCGCCTCCTCCTCCTCCCCCCCCCCCTCCCCCTCCCGCGGCGGCCGCGTGTCTGCCGCGCGCCGGGGGCACATTGATCGGGGGCCGGCGCAACAACCCCCCAGGACAAGCACGCCGCTCAGCGGCGAGCAA